ATTATCATAACAGGACGACTGCAACATATAATATTGATATTAATCTCGATATTGTACATAATTGAATTTTATTTGTTCTTTTACTCTGTAATATCCAAGGGATTGTTTCTCCGTTAACAAAGTGAGATTAATTATAGTCAAAAATATTCCAAATATGTTTCTTTTCTCACCGTAGCATCAAATACATATTCGATACTTATTATCGCGACTAATCCATCAATTATCAGATCACGCAACATCTCGGTACAATGTGTCGCAATGCGATACAACGTAAGGCGGAACATAACGCGTAGGATTACGGTGACGTTGGACGTACTTAAGCTCACGTCAAGGAGGGGCTTAACTATACGAGCGATCCTCTTACACAACGTAGAGAATTACGTGTCGTTCGACGAAATCTAATTCCATTCCTCGCGAACCTGAGTGCTTTTTATCAGCGCAGCTCGATCGATACGTTATTTCGCGCGCGATCGATCTCAGCGTGGCGGACCGATAGATTGCGGCTCTCATTAATTTCGTGCGTGGTAGATATTTAACGCCCTGTCTATCGATAATCCGATCTGCATATAATATTCCGTTCGTCATTAATACATGATATATCATCGTGGCGGGGATTATCGAGCGCGCGGTCGTTGTACCTAGCGCGCGCAGTTATTTGAATAACAATATTCCAGCATTAGACCGGGTCACCGTTTGTGGCACCTAACGAGCTCTTATGCAAATCTGGCTCCATTCTGGCGAGTCACAATATTGAGAGGATTTAACGATTCATTTAACCCGACTTACGCGGCCTATGAAAAATGTAATCGTCGAGGGAACAGAGAAAGAGAGAGAGAGAGACTGAAATGACATGACTGAGAGACAGGGAATGGGACCCTCCCAACCGATAACCACGCCGACAAAGTGTTTCGTCGCGAGTACACAACGACTCACGATGAGACCGTCGTAAGAAATGGCTAACGTCAGGAAAAGATATTACCGCCGGATAGTCGACGGGTCCTCTCCGGGACTATCGGGATCCATTATGAACACTCTACTGGCGACGGACGAAGAATAGAAAGTAGTCTTCGTTTTATCTCCACGCACGCGCGCGCGGCGCTCGATGCTGCGATACTTTCAGCGCCTCTGAGAGGGCCCCCGGCCCCCTTTGAGAGCGCGACCGTATTGTAGGGAGAAAATTATAGGCCGGATCGCGACTTCCTCAGGATCACGCGCGGACTAGGCCAGGGTCGCCCTGGTGTGGCCCCGGTTAACGATACACCGCCAGTATACGCGACGGTACCGTGCGCGGCTCGTTATATAAACCAGTATTCTACTGTCTCCTCGGTATAAACGCCACCATAAATACTCCACCGGTCGACCGCGTCGTCGACGTCCTGGTATTAGATTAGACCTAGCTAGCAGGTCCAGCCGAATGTAAATTCCGGATACGAGACACATAGAGGCCGGCATCTGCCTTCCCGGTATTTTCGCCCTCGACCCGGGTGGCTTAGCTGGCCGGCTTTGCCGGCGTATATCGGCTTTTATCGTTGTCGTACCTTCTCTCTTTTTTCCCCATCTCGCTGAAACGTAGCAAAATAATCCAGAAATCGAGCTCTATTAGCATCGGAAGCGGCGTTACATCGACGGCGTCTCGAAAAAAAGGCGGCGCGGCCCCCGGGTCTCCTAGAGCAGTCACGAAATAGCTGCATCGGAATCAGTTCCCTGTATATACAGGGGGAGATGTGGGAAGGTCTCTCCGGGGTCTTGTGAGAATGCGGACGACCGCGAAATCGCATATAAATTAAGGTTTCAACATTTTCGGCGCGGCCCTTTGTCGGATTCGCCATCGTATCCCCGGGGAACGGTTTTACTTCACGGGACAAAAAGAGAGAAAAGTGCAATCGCAGGGCGGGAGTTCCACTTTCGAAGTCGTACGTGAAATGCGCTCTTGACCTTTCGCGGCGGCGAAGACACTGCTTGAATAGTTTCCCTTAGAATAGTGCTACTGAAAGACATGAAACAACAGTTTTCTACAGTTTTCTAGCCTAAATTATTGCAATGCTACTACAATATTATTATTCTTTCTTCAATGTCATATTTCCTAATATGTCACATTCATAACAGTAAGTTTATTATTTGGATGGTATCACTTTTGCACACGAAGTTACACCAGAATAATAGTCTGTATTCTACAGAGTCATATGTGCGAAATTACGATATTCGGTATGAAATTTCTCCGTATGGAGATTCCCGATCGTAGATGCGACGATCCGCGGCGCGTTAAGTAGATACAAAATAATCTCGCAAGAGATTTGTGAAAGTGATACATTGCAACATCTCGCCAGCAATGAGAGGAGTCCGAATAAAAACAGAGCGCGCATAAAAAACTTGATTTGCACATCTAATATGCTTTTTATTCGTTTCGCGGTGCACGCTCGCGCGCGATACGCGCGCGGCTGTCCAGCCGCGATGATCGATGCGAGCGATAAATCTGCGATCCTTCGCTCTCGTGTTGGCGCGTCCGACACACTTCGCGCCACGATCGGACCGCGACGTATGCACGAGAGGCTGTTGACCCGAATATCCCACGATTACATCTCAGCTGCATTGAGAACACGGCGGTGTAACTGCCCGTGTGTACTTGGCTCGTAGGTACCTAGGATCAGCTGAGTCATAACAGGTGTACACGTGTGTCCGTGCGATCGTAGCGCGAGCAATGAGCCGAGTATGAGCGGCGTTGAAATTGTCCAGCCACTGGAATAGGGACATTCTTGGATCTCGGCGGGATTTGGGGGCAATAATATCTCGGGCTGTTTAATGAGCCTAGATCACACGTAAGACACTAGGTGACTGGTCCCTCGAATCGCCGGGATGAATAGCAATCTTTCTTGCGTCTAATTTCTCAGGGCCGTATTGATAGTCGTTTTCTGAAACTCGTCTCATACGAGATACTCGGAATTTGAATTTAGAGTTAGATCTGAATATTTTAGTTGAATCATGATATTATATTTGTAATTGTGATTCAACTGTACAAAACATCTAACTCCAAAGTAAAATCTGAATATCTTATTTGAGATAAGTTTCAAGCAACGACTACTAATATAAGCTTTAAAAATTGAGTTACATGATGTTATATGCGAATTAGCGTCCTTTTGGATTTCGGGGCTTTGAGTGAGGTTGATGTCATGAACTACTTTGAAATTGCGAACGAAACGAAATAAAGTATAAGGTAGCGTTCAAAGCCGTCTTACGGATATCGCGGGCTTGTGTATACGTTTGTGCGAACACCCGGTAGATGCAATAACAATGAGGTCTTGCTCTTCCTCGAACCGCCGTGTTACATATTGTACTCGTGACTTGTCGATGCAGCGTACATGACTAGCAACGAGCCCCTCATAATGCGGGTTAATCGATGCGCCGACCCGTGTAAAACGCCGGCAGGATAAGCGCGATGCAGTAGACGCGAGGAAATGCATTCGGCGAACGCATTCTTATGTAACCGCTTATCGCGCGCCTCTCCGTCTACTTTCCGTTTTTAGTCGGTTGCGAGTCGAATCGAGTCGAACGACCTCCAGCGCACCTCGATGCATAATTGATTTCCTGAATTAAATCGCTATCGAATTTTGCCGCGGCGCGCACGAGAAATCGCGAGCGTTGCTATCCGCCTCGAAATAACTTTGCTCCCTGAGAAACCGACGAGTGGAACGGGTAGATCCATTTCTTCGAGTTAGATCTGAGCATTTTAGCTAAGTCATACGGTATTACATTTGTAATTGCGATTCAAAAAAAGCATCTAAGACCGGGAGTACATGGAAAAACGTAAGAGATTTAATCCTCCGTTAGTCGTGGGTCTTTATGAAAAATGGAAATTTCATTAATAAATTTATTAATCAAGAAGAAAATATAACATTTTTAAGAAATAGTTTTGTATCGATCTTCGCACAATTTGAGGCAGCTATTTTTGACAGAAAGATATGAAAAATATGGCGCGTACTTCCACTTTGTGTCGTGTCAAAATGAAATCACTGTCAGGTGGAGTCCTAAATTTATAGAGAGGTGACATTGAGATTCGATATATAAAAAATCGTCATTTTGCACAGTAATGTGTAAAGTTAACCTCAAGTAGAAATTACTCATTTTCATGATTAACTTGAATTAACTTGACGTTATAACTCTGTACATAAAAAAGTACTTTGTTTCCAGTAAACACCAATTACCAGTAACATAACATCAAGGTTACTAATTAATTTTCCACTCAATAATGTAAATGCTATATACTTTCTATTGGCTGTTGTACGGACAATATGGCGTTTGGGCTTTGTGACTCGGATAACTAATGAAACAAAACTTTTTAATTCTGTAAATCTAGGATACCGATCTATCTTATGGGAAAAATCACAGTAAGAAAATTGACTAAACAAACGATTATTCTTGTAAGCTGTAAGGAGAATAATCGATTGTGGTTAGTCAATTTGCTTACTGCTCAAGTTTTACCGTTTACGAGCTCCAGAGCATTTTGATGTATAATTGATGCCCTGAATTAAATCGCTTTCGAATTTCACCGCGCACGAAGAATCGCTAACGCTGCTCAATCTGTCTCGAAATAACTTTACACTCCGAGAAGTCGACACATCGAACGGGTGGATCTATTTTTCGAACCGGGACGTTTGCGCGCACTAGCACAAATACGCCAAAGATATGATACGTCAACACGGCAGCCGTGCGCTTTTTTAGAAGCAGCAGCATCATGAATTTTAATTTTTATATATGCCGAAAGACGCGCGAGATAAAAATCAACACATGGCATGCCGACGTGGCGGTTTTAGTCGCGTGTAATTTTCATGAATTTTAATATGCCGTCGAAAAGGTAACCCTTTTCGGCGCCGCCATTAACGCGATTCAACCGAAACTGAAATATCACCGCGCGCGCGCACGCTAATAGTCCCCGCGCATTTTAATGTCTACCCGCTAAAAGGGGGTCGCGCGCCCGCGCGAGAGAGGATCTTTGTGTCCCCGCGCAGATGCAGCCGCCGTGTGCAACCGAATCAAAATGACTTGCCGGAAAGAAAAAAAGAAAAAAAGGTGTAAGGAGGGCGCAACCGGGTCTGTTGACGTTTATTGTGTCTAAACGGTCGGACGGAGGCGCCATTAAAATTTTCTCGCCTCGCGTACACTTCTCACCGTCTCTCTCTTTCCCTCTTTCTCTCCCCCTCTCTCTTTCTCTCTCTCTCTCTCTCTCCCCCTATCTTCCTCTTTTTTCGTTTTATCTTCCTCGCGAAGGTCGGGGCCCCGGATCTGTTGCTGCAAGTCAGCATGGGAAGCCGCGAGAGGAAGGCGCGTCTCGGATAAGAGAGTCAGTCAGGAAAAAAATTCAGGCAGCACGGTCTGAGATTCGCTCGGCGATTCTACATTCTCTTACTTATTGATTGATGGCTTGTAAAAGGGTTCCGCGCATTTTGTTCGGTGTTTAGTCATGCAGAATACTCACCGCGGCTATTCAAGCCTGTCGCCTCGCGCATATGTGCCTCTTTTATAGCGACACTTTTTTTTATATCTCGCGGGATAAGGAATCGTCTGCGCGAATATTTCGTACGTGTGAAAACGGATTTCAGAGATCATCGACATGGATCGCATATATCATGTCCGGATAGCGACGAGAGTGTAAAATTTGCTGTGTTGATTGACAGCCTTTGATCGCGTTGACTTTTTCAGCGTGATAAACTCGCAGCTTCGACAATCCGAGCATAAGTTAGCAGTGACTCGCGTCGGTGCTCGATCTCCATGCTCTGCATCCTTCATAAATCGGACCTCAACAATGCCCGTCCTTGGCGTGCATAAACAGGTCGCTGCTTGCTCACCTGCCGACAGAAACGAAGTCTGGCCGTAATTTAATAACCGATTCGGCCTTTAGTTTCGAGTCCGTGGCCGCGGGAGTGCGGGGGGTTGGTACTAAGTGCCGCGGAGAGACGAAATCGGGAATAGCGAGCGGGCGAGCGGGTTTGAGGCCCCCGAAACGGAGCCCATAAATAAGCCGGGTCCGGAATTACAATAATCCGATCCAATTAAAGCGGAAATTTATAGTTGCAAAAAGCGTAGACGCAACCCCCACCAAGTACCGGGCGATTTGCATTGCGAAATTTGCAAGCGTAATTTCAAATTTGCTTAATGGGGCCCGCGGAGTCGAGAGAGAGGGAGAGAGAGAGAAAGAGAGAGAGGGCCCTCGGAGGCTACTCGCGTAATAGATTCCGTTTTCATATTCGACGGACCTACTACGTACCTCTACGAGGGAGAAGGATCGCGGCCAGGACCGCTTTGAAAAGGGCCGCCACCCATTATGAATTTCATACAGTGCTCCGTTTTTTGCTCTCTTTCAACGAAGGCGGCCCAGTAACTTTGGGACCATTTACCATACCTCGCTCCGAGGGTAAACTCGGCCGCGCCGCTAGCCGCTTGCGCTACTCTCTATCAGAATCAATTTCCACGGATCGTAATATACTATCGGGCCTTAGATCCAATTATCGATGTCTGCTGGTGTTACAGCACCGGGTATTCCCGCGTAATTTCTATCGTAATGCGGAACGTTGCATATTCAATAATGCCCACCTGCTAGTAAATATACACGTCTGTCGTGGGATGAGCTTCCATTACACGGTGATTTTGACTCTACAGCACTAAAAACATAGGTAAAATTTACTTAAGTTTGAGGTTCACGTAACTTTTTAATGTTTAGGGAGTTAACTCTACATTACAACGTGCTCTCTTTATCTCTTTATTTTCAAAAGTCCCCCCATTCTATGCGTCGGTGACCTAATTGTTACGAATACTGGACACACGATAGATAGAAGATTACACGCATTGTTCACGCGCCCTGGATCGCGGCTCTGCTACTCTCAGGCCGGCACCTGACGTGTGATTATTCCGCCATTATTGTCGGGGGATCGAAACCAGATCTAACAATCATCATCGCGGAGGACGGCCGGCTCGATCGGTGCCAAATTCATAGGGGCACCGGATACTTCCCTGCTGCCGATTAGCATAAATTATCCGCGGTCAAGGTGACCGGACACACGAGGCCCCTCATTCCCTTCGTCCACGTCCGCTAATGTCATACATTCGGCCCTCTAAAGGCGCTAAAAGCGGCGCCGCGAGGTGCCGATTGTAGAAACCGGCAGCTCGGCAGCGGAAGCACCCGCGATCAGCGTCCGAATGAGCATAATATACTCTCGTATCTCTCATACACTAATCATATCTAAATGGTTGCGCCGTATACATTCTTGCTTGAGAAATTGCGGGATTGGCTGGATACAAATGTTACGTCTCAGTTAAAGTAGCCGCGAGGGAACCGTCTGTGTCGGGCCTCAATCATCTTTTATTCCATCGATTTATTCGCAAAGCGCGAACTTTCTTACATTAAAAAGTAATAAACCCTAATCTCCCTGGCTTCTGGAATATTAATCGTCTGATGGAGACGTAAATATCTCCGGTATATACAGTGTACTTCGCGCGTATAACGAAGGGAAAACATACAAATGCATGGCCGCCGAACGAATCAAAGTAACGATAATTCCGTTAAATTAGTGGCGAACGCCGAAATGGGTCAATCGAGACGCAAGACTGGTTTCTTATTAAGGCTGCCTCGTAACTTTCAGCTGAACGGCTGATAATCCCGCGTATTGGTCGAGCGAAAACCGCGACGTCGCGGAACCGGGCGCGAGCGCGGATTATCGAGATTTAACTTTGAATTAATACGATACTTAGCGCTGTTCCACTGTTCGGTTTTATCCCGGCGCATTCGTAAATCGAGTCGGTAATCGCTTAACGAACCACCTTTCGAGATTGTTCCCCCGTCGTAAATTCTGACGGCAAGCCTACTCGTTCACTCGTTTTCGGCGTAACCCACTTTATAAATCTGCCTCGCCTTTCGCACCCTGCTCGACTTTACGAGCCGCGTAGCGCGCGTGTGCGCTCGCGCTTTCCATCTCGCTACTTATCGTCAGGTTGGTGTTCCTCTTCGCATCGACGTCTTTTTATCTTTCTTCATAACGCGATGGTCGTTGTGTACGATAAAAGTATGCCTGAACAACGTATCTAACTCTGGGCGTTCTTGTTGCATTGGCCTTTAAATACACACGCGACTGAATGTTTATTCAATGAAATATTCATATTTCATTAATATTCAAGACCAAGACAATAGTGAATGTCCAGGCAGAACCAAACAGCACTTTCTTCAGAAAGTTGCAACTTCTCAGACAACTAATCGTTGTAATTAACTATATAAATATGATAGAGACAACCTCTCTCTATGTTTTTATGTCCGCAATGATCCTGTAAACGGTGTATTTTCTTCTGTAATGACCTAAATATGAATATGCCGCAACGTGGCAAGTTGGTTAGCGACTCGGAGTGAGACGGCCACATATAAAATATGTATACCATCTATGTTCTAAATATTTTGCAATTTCGTTTTCACTGTTCCTCTTATAATGACTACATAAACAAAGCACGTAGCCAACATACTCCGTAGGTCAACTAAACCCAGTTTGCAGATATTGCTATGTTTTTACCTTAACCGTATCACTCCGCGAAACTGGATCCGCGAAGGTACGCAAGCTCCGAGAAGAAATAGTCGTGAGCACCTTCATATGCTGCGATTTACGTCTTTCTTGCTTGTCGTGTAAGTAACATCCCAATGTACCGTATCGCGTGTAAACGTCCACTTTGCAACGCAAACGTGACGTAGACGCCACTCATTAATTACGCTAACAACGCGATGCTCGCTCGTTCGCTCGCTTGGTTGGTCAGTCGGTTGGTTGGTCGGCCATGGCGACCATAATTCCCGGGCGGATTGAGCCGTCAGCGAAAGTGCAATATTTTACCGAGATGGCGACCGATAGGTAGCCATCAGCGGCGGAATACTAAACAGCTTACGGGAGATCCCCGTTAGAATCCGGCGTGGCGGCATCCGAAACAGTCCACCTGCGTATCTCCATCTTACCAGTCAACTTTTCGCGTCACTCGCGCCCGGTTCTCGCTTACGGAGATTTCCGATCAGCTCGCACGGCAGATACTTTCCCGAGATATGGGATCCGCGGTCGGGAGAGATGGGTACAACCGATCGTTCACAAGCGAGTCGTTCAATTTGCCGACGCCACCAAGCACCGTCACCATCTTTCTTATCTGTTTGCGAATCTTGGAGACTTTTCCGGCGATGAAGATCACGGAGTTTTCTGCTGTCATGACTTCCATTCAAGTTCAACTCAAACCAGATGCAGATTTTCCCCCTTTTTGTACACTGAGAGAACAATCCAAGTGTTAATGAATCGATCAACGCTCAAGTGACATACTACTGTGCCCAAAAAGTAAGATCAATTAACATTTTTTTTTTTAAATCTTTATTTATTATTCCAAATCTATTTCGTCGCCTTCAAAGTAATCTCCCTCAGACACAATATACTTATGCCAACGTTTTTTCCAACCCTCGAAACAGTTGTTAAAGTCGATTTCCGAAATGGCCTTCAAAGCTTTCTTCGATTCAGCTTGTATCTCTTCAATCGAGTCAAAACGGTGTCCCCGGAGCGGTCTTTTGAGTTTAGGGAATAGCCAGAAGTCACACAGTGCTAAATCAGGTGAATATGGTGGTTGTGGAACGATATGGGTCGAATTTTTAGCGAAATGGTCTCGAAGAACCAATGCAGCGTGAGATGGTGGGTTTATATCTATCACTGCAGTGTGGGTTTATATGCATCACGTAATACGGTTTCCAACCGTAGGGTTGGAAAAAACGTTGTGTATTGTGTCTGAGGGGGATCACTTTGAAGGCGACGAAATAGATTTGGAATAATAAATAAAGATTTTAAAAAAACTTGTAAATTGGTCTTACTTTTTGGACACAGTAGTATTCGATCGTTTGTGTGGCTCAAGCCGATCAAGTTGATTGAAAAGTTTGATTGGAACGTATATCCGTATATATCTGCATATATCCGTTTGTTTAATTTTCGGTCGGACCATGAACTTTTCTTTTTTAGCGTAATTGAGATGTAGCTTTCACGACAACAGCCGCGTAGTTTGAATTTTTCACAGATATTCCCGCGACAACAAAGTTCCTTAGCCGGCGCGTAAGTCGTACCGCCTGAATAATTGAAACGTTCGTTTGCATATCGTAAGCCTTTGTTTCACCCTTTTCTCCATAAGTCGTTCCGTGACCGAAGTGCGGTTGGTCAGATCCAAATTCCGCCGGGAATTTTGCTTTGTCGTTTTATTTCCGCTCGCTAACACGAACCCGCGAGCGGGATCGGAATGCCGAGCGTTTCGAGCACAGAAGAGAGAAAGACGGCCCTTGCTGGAGCTCGCGTGCTCATTACGCTCCTGGAATAAAATGTATCTTCGGAAGCCAGTCTCTTTCTCTCTTTTTTTTCTTTCTGTCTCTCTCTCTCTTTCTCTCGCTCTCTTTCTCTCTTTTAAAGTAGCCAGGCATTGTTCGGTTCTTCGATGCTAAAGGACGAGCTTAAATCTCACGTAATGTGCCTCGCTCGGCGTATACGACTCCCGGATGCTTGTGTTCGGCATTTTGGAACATTGCAGCGCCAAACGATAAACACTCGCGTCCTCGATATTCCTTAAAAAGGAAACAAGCGGCTGCAAAAGTGCGAGCACCCACTTTTGAACCAAGATGCGCGGCGTCTTCGTCCGCGCGGAAGATCGCGAACCTCCTCTCCTTCGGCACAGAGTGTAAGGTGTTCGACTTTCGACGCAGCTGGCGAAGATCGCTGGTCTATCTGGGATGATCTGTGGGGCCGGAGATCCGAGAGCAGGATCGAGATCGAGGCGCGATAGCGGCGGAAACCCCATGGATTATGCTTGTACGGCGTCGCTGTCGTACGACCGCGTTAAAAGTTCGCCATTGTGACGGTCATTGTGCAGCTTGTCGTCGAGTGCGCTCGGAAGAAAAATATTTTGCCCCCTTTTCTCACAATACGGGTGCGAACGACGTGTCCACGACGTGTCAACGTTCTCGAATGTTACTGATTGTCATAATGAGGAATAACTTCTGCGCGGAAATGACAATTTTGCAGGGAAAATATTTTGGAGAATTTTTAGAAAATATGTACTTTTCATATTTGTTGCAAAAATTCGTATTTTTCAATTTTCAATGGAAACTCTCCCACTTTACTGTTCCGTCTTATTTCTGACTGGTTGAAAGCAATATTTCATCGCAAAATCTGTAGTATATAAATTCGTTATACGCGCTGTATCAAATACAACTTTCTGCGTTCGTGGCGATAGAGAATTGACGATTTCTATATCTGCATGCAATGATACTGTTTACAAATTCCCATTAATAATGGGAACAGTCTTTGATATTTTATAGAATACACTGATTATATTTTTGAGAGTAGAGTATATTCTCTTCCATTCTGTCAAGTGCATATTTCTATTCGAAATTGAAAAATTAATCTTTCTAATGTCACTTCACTGTCAAATGACAAATTTGAGACAAATTTCCTTTAACTTAAACATTTCCTGATATGGAATTAAGAATCCACTCTATAGTTTGAGCGAAATGAACTTTCACTCTTGTAATTTTGAGTGGCGGTATTTCCACTATCACTTGGAGCGAATTGTCACTCGTTTTGAGCGAGATCGTCATTCCAAGAAATTTACAGAGTGTGTAACTATTACAATGTGTTACTCGCGTTCAGTACCACATCTGTTCATAGAGATAGGCTGTACAAACGTGTAGGGATCAACTCGAACATATCCACCCCTTGCGCGCGGTCCCGTTTCCGCCCTAAAACTTTTATGGCCGGCACTAAACCGACACGCACCCGCTTCGTAAGGGATTTAAATTTCCTGACCCAAGGAAACTCGCTGGAAATCGGCGGTTTTATTTCTTCGCGTAAAATAGCTCATCCAGAGGCGACGCGCCAGGACGAGTATCTTTTTACGACTCGTCCTACGTGCCGCGCCATGGAACATTTCGAGTTTTAATTGCTTCTCGGAGGAAGTACACGCCTCGTGCCGGTAAACTACCCCTAACGTCCCAGTGTCGCCGGCGATCCCTCACCATGAAATCGAATGATCGAGTTTCGTCCCGAGCGTGTTTATGGAAGCGAGCGGAACTTTGCTAGAATCTCGTCAGAAAACTCCTCCGCGTAATGTTCCATTTTTCAGGCACTAAAGGACAGATTTACGACGTAGCTCTCGGGAAATGATTACGGCTCGCAGCAACGTCCATGACATAACGCGTGCGTATTACTACGGCGCTACAGCCTTTCCCGATCTCCCCTTTCACTCGAGATCACCGGAAAACGTGTGTCGATCGGCCATAGAAGTAAGAAGCCGAAGATTGGAACTCGACCTTGCGTCGGTCGGCTGAGAAACAACTTCCCTGTCTGTGTCTCTTCCGCGTAGCGTAGCTCAGTGCCGGAGTACAACACCGAGTTCAAACCGACTACATACCGGTCGTGCGGATGCAGCACGTTAGCAATTAGTCTTCGTACCGATCCCGCTCGTTATCCCGCGAGATATCTGATCGCGTATCCCGGCTTCGCCGCGTTGTACGTCTTTATCGTCAACGGGATCAAATTATCCGTGAAAGGGCGGACACACCCGAGTAACTCCAGAAATCGGTACACACTCGCCGTGCTCCTCACGAAATCCAATACGTTCTGAGGATCATCGTAGCGATCATGCGTTCCCATCGAACTTCTTCCCGCTGCCCCTCTCGTCCGAAAGCAATGTCGCCTTTTTGCCTCGTTTTGTAAAGTAATTGCGGCTACGCTACCAACGGATAGTATCTTGATCTACCATCGGTCGACTTCAGCTTTTCACGTTTATTAGCACCTCTGTAATTAGAACCGTCGTCGCAAAAGAAAAAAAAAATTACTAACTGTCAATTTCCAACAAGTTTTCTTGATTCGGGAAATTTCTTTTATTTTGATTATATTAACTTTTAAAATTAATTATTTTCGGTATCTTAATAGTGAGTAGAGAGACTCACACATATCCGATGCATTTTTTTATCAACTTAAAATTGTTAAACAATTAAAAAAAATTCATATAGCTTTTTTCAAGC